CCTGATATGTTATGGCTTTATATTTATTAGTGCATTTTCTTCTTTCTACAGTCACAGTCCTTTCAGACAGCACAAAACCAAAGATAAGCATGAGATCGACCGGATGACGCTCACCGTGGTAAGGAGCCTGGTGACAGTTGCAGTTTCATTCCTCTTGTTTTCTAAACTCCCATTCCCTCTAAAAACTGGAGCTGTAGAGCCTGCTTTCTGAGAAAGCTGTATTTACACATGGAAGAGTTGTTTACAAACGCCATCAAAGGAAAGCTGCTCTCCTCTGTGGGGAAAGCAGATCACACTGCTTCTAGAATTCAATGTCTCTTTTTGTACTTCTTTTTCTCATAGAATGTGGAGCTACCAGATTCCTTTTCTCCTGAGCTGAAGTCCCTTTTGGAAGGGCTCCTGCAACGGGATGTTACCAAGAGACTCGGATGCCAAGGAAGAAGGTAGGTGTTGTCTTCTCCTTGGACCACTGCCTTTAAAAATTTCCACTTCTCTATGAGTGAATGAATTAATGTCAAGTAAAAATCTGTGCTTCCTGTTGTGATGATTTTAATTCTGGAAAGAGAGCATTAGAAAGTGCTGTTGCATGGAATTACATTTCAGCTTCCTGTAGTTGGGCAAATTTTTGGACCATTTCTGTCATTAAAGCCTTCCCCCGAGTTGTGCAGTCACGCTTACATTGGCTGGTGTTTGTCCTTTTCATCCCTGTGTTGTTGTTATGTTTTTGCCTGATCTGTTTTGGTGTGAAGTCATATTACTTGATTCAGAAATGTTGATAGCTACAATTTATTGCTTATATTGTAGCTGTAATGATAGGAGCATATTACACAGAAAAAACCCAGCCCCTAAAACAGCAAGCACAGAAAGCTGTGAACACTCGCTTCGTTTTGGGTTGCCTCTATTTCCAGAGATACCTGGTTCATTTAATGATTGTAAGGGAAAGGGCTTTTTTTTTTGTTTGTTTGTTTATTGACTGCAAAACACTACTAGCTCCTGCCAAGCTTCCCTTGCCTATAGCTGTGAACTCAAATTGTTGTTATAATCTATTTAAAAAACTAGCACGTGCCTCGTGTGTGAGTAGGAGAGAAAACTGTGAGAGGAGTAAATAACTGTTGAGAACCCCGTGACAGTGTGTGATACCTGTTAATTGATAGTCACACCTGAGACTGGGGCTGGCTTTAGTTCCAGTGAGATATTCTGAGGGATTTTTTTATCCTGGAGCCCTCCATGCTGATGACCTGAGATGGCTTTTCATCCTGGACCTATCCAGCGTAGTTACTTATTTTGCCATAAAATACGTGTGATATCAAATGGAGTGCAGTAAGTTTGTTCCTTAGAAGCAGTGTATGGGATCTGGCAACAGGCGAGTGTTGTGTGTTGTTTGAAATGGTGGAATACTGTAGCAAAGCAAGAGTAAGTGCCTGCCAGACCTACAGCACTATTTCCAGTGTTTCCACATGGAAGTCTTCTCTTCTGTTGTTTACTTAGGAAGACTTTTTTTTTTTCCTTGAAAAAAGAACATTTTACAGATGTTTTCAAGCGATAGAAATGTGACCTTTGAAGGCTTTGTGTTTCTCAAATACATTTGAAAAGCTCCTTTATTGTGTTGACTTTGGATACTTTTGTTTTGCAGTGCACAAGAAGTAAAAGAGCATCCTTTCTTCAAAGGCATTGATTGGCAGCAAGTCTATTTACAAAAGGTAAAGGATTAAGATAGTAACCTCAGCTTACTTGGTAAAGCATTAAAAAGAAAATAACCCTAAGCAGATAAAGGACAGAAAACTTCAGGGTTCCAGTCCCCAGCACGTGCACTCACTTGCATGAATACGTGGGGGATCGTTGATGAAAACTACAAGTCTTCCTTTTGGGTACTACTGAACTATTACTTTTGTCAGGGGCAAACCACACATGGTTTCTTCTGCTTAGCTGTCTCAAAACTGTAGGATTTTTTCTCCCAAAATGTTTGGAGGACCATTTATTAAAGGAGTGGAGAAGTTCTTTGCACTGAGGTTTAATTTCAAGGCACGTACTTTTGCAGAGTCATGTGTAACTTGTGCAAAAAATAAGAAGGCCGTATAGATCTACAGAATGGATTTAAATAATGTCCACTAATTTGTCTTTAATTATGCCACTTTTAATTTCTAGTACCATCCACCATTGATTCCTCCCCGGGGAGAAGTAAATGCAGCAGATGCTTTTGATATTGGGTCATTTGATGAAGAGGACACTAAAGGCATTAAGGTACACAGCCTTAGCTGATAGGTAGAGAATGGCACTGGGACTGCTGGGCTTAACTTTCCATGTGTGCGTGCCATTCCTTTGCCTTCAGGGGCTACTGAGTGTGCAAGGAATTGCTTTCAAGTTTGGAAACTTAATCCATGCTGTTATGAAAGAGGTATCTCAGGCTGGTTGGCTAGTTTGTTGTTGCTTGCCAAGTCCTTATGTTTTATTTTTTAGACTGACTGAAATCTACCTTCCTATCAAAAGTTTTATTTGATAAAGGAAATATTTCAAATGGTCAGGAAACTTTTGGGAAATCCTCAGGTTTTCAAGAATACTTAATGGTTTGTAGTTTTAGAAATTGTAATTTGTTTCTGGTGATTCGGGTGAATTGAATTAAACCTTGTTTTAATAGTATTACCTCATGGTCAGAGAGTACATTGGAAAGCTCTTACAAATGACAAACTGTATATTAAAGGCAGCAACTTTATAAGATAGAAAAGTGATAAAGTAAATTTTCAGGTTCTGGTATTATCTGAAATCCAATGAGAACAATATAAAGGGAAGAATGAGATGTTAAAGCTGCTGGCCTAGTTCTGACTTGCATGGAGATGGTGTGACATCCCCTGTGTGTTCATCCCCTTCTGAAGCCTCCCTGGTGCTTTGGGACAATAGGTGAATCAGCACTTGGCTTGGGTCTGTCCCGTTCGTGCATTTATTTTTTTCTTCAATAGATCAAACTTTATTCTTGCTATTACAGAAGTGAGTCAGGAGAGAAACCAATTTCTCTAAACTTTATAAGCAAAAAAATATGTTAAGTACTCGCTGTGCCTAAAAAGGAACCTGTCTGTCAGTGTCACCTGCTGTAATTACAGAAGTTGGCACAGAGAAGATTTTACATGTTTAAAGAGAAATGCAGAGAACCCGAGATGTTCTTTATCCCAGAAACCTCCACATCTTCAGTGTCAGTGTTAGTCTAACAGGATGCCAGTTTCCTGCAGTTCTGTAATGCTGTAATTCAAAGGAACATTTTGCAATGAGAAACCAGGTGGTCTTTTTATTTATTGAGGGGATCAGGTATTCTCAGCGAGGCCTGTAAATCCTGTAGCCAGATCACTTGCCTGTAATCTTTGTTCAGGCTGCCTATAAGGTAAATTTATTCTTAGTCATGAGTCAGTGAGGGATATCACATACAGCTTCTTTGCTCTGCACTTTCACTGGGATGTCACAGTCTTTTAGAAGGGACTGAATAATTCGTGCCTCTGAGTCAGCTACAGTCAGAGCTTCCATTAAGGTGTCAGGAGGCATCTTTGCCTGTGAGGACACCAGTCTTGAGTGCCTTGCTCTCCATTACCCCAGCGGGTTATATTTACACTGCAGAGTGTCCTGTGACACCAAGAACACGTGTGCTGGGAGGTTACAAACTGGAAAGCCATCAGTGGATGCTCGTGGCTTTCTCCTCTTACTCAGATGCTCTAAGGAGCCCCTGTGAGCTACTTGTGCAGAACTGCAGAGAAGTCTTCTGCCTTCAGATCCAGCCTGTGTTCTCCTGCTGTGGATCTCTGAAAAGGAGGAGGACCTCTATTCTGGGAGTGTCTGACCTGGCCTGGCTGCAGAAGGAGAACTGACCAAGGCTCTCCTGTCCTGCTCCTGCTGGTGCTGCAGCAGTGGCTGGAGCGTCTGGCTTTGCTTGGAGCAGCGCTGTGCGTGCGTCCCCTTCCCTCAGGATCTGCCTTCCCCCGGCACTGCTGCACCGGGGACCAGCCCAGCCCTGCCCGCTGGCAAACTGGGCAGTTCCATGGACTGACAACATTCATAACACCATAAAGGATGCCTCTGTCTTGCTCCTGGAAGAAAACCTCTGGTTTGTCTAGATTGTTGGAAACTGAAGCACCTGAGGAGTGGCCGTAGAGAGTTTAAACTCATCCCCAGATCAAACCCTTTCATAATGTTACAGGGAAAACATTGATCGCTTTTTGCACTGCGTCCAAGTGCCTCGTGGTTACACCCAGCGTGTGGCTGTGTCAAGCAACAAGTCCTTCCTGCAGATCCTGTAATTTTAGTTTCCTTTAGTGCAATTCAATTTAAGTACTTTAGTTACGGATTAGGGGGGAAAAGTATCTAAGAGGAAGAATGAGGTCTGCAGCATGTGCTGCTGAATTCTGAAGGTTAATTATTAAGAATGGAAAATTAAACTGTGGAAGCATGGAAGGCGTTGTGTAAAAAGATATCTTTTCATTTATTCATAGAAATTTTTTGCTGAGAATGTTGCATAGTGTTGACAAAATGTCTAATTGTGTTAAAAACTAAGTAAGGCTTTTAGAGCGATCAAACCAAACAACTTTAGGACAGGTGACCTGTTCTCTGTATATAAATTTACTTAAATTAGTATCTATGTTTTCTCTTGTTTGCACCTGTTTTTTCTGGTAAGGTTAGAGTTCAATTTATCTTTTAAAGTTATACTGTTATATGGGTAACTTATCTATTTGGGGTAAAATTAGTAAAATTTATTAAAATGTTGTGGTTTTATGTTGTTTTTTCTCTTACAAGTTGCTTGATAGTGACCAGGAATTGTATAAGAACTTCCCTCTGGTAATATCGGAGCGTTGGCAGCAAGAAGTAGCAGAAACTGTTTATGATGCAGTAAATGCAGACACAGATAAAATTGAGGCCAGAAAAAGGGCTAAAAATAAGCAGCTTGGCCACGAGGAAGGTAATCTGTCAAATCCACTTCTCTCCATCTTTTGCTGGTAGATAGTAATTCATGTGTTTGAAGTTCCTCACAACAGACTCTCGTATTACTGTCATTCACCAGTAATTGTTAGAATTCATTTAGTCAGTATCGTGTTTCTTAATGTTTTGAAATGCTCTGTGATGACATAATGTTTTAGAAGAATCTTTTGTGCTCTCTTTTGAAGATGGTCATGTACAGCTTTGCATCGTTTTTGTTTATGGTGTATGCTCAGAAAAGAATATGTGGGATTTGATTTCATGACAAAGAAACTGGCAAAGAAAACAGGAGGTCCTGTACAGCAAACCTCACTTGTTTGCGTGAGGATGTTGCTTGACAAACGCTGAACTTTGGGTAGCAATATACAATTCTTTTAATAGTTCATAAGGTAGATTGTTAGGAACCAAATTCTGTCCTTGGTTACTCCACTGCAGCCTCATCAACTCCTCTAATTAAGGCAGAATTGGCTTTTCGTGTGTGCCTGTGCACATAGAAGCACTCGTGCAGGTTTGGTGAGAGCACGTTGGGTCACGTTGTGCTCAGGACTGGGTCCTTTCCCAGTTGAGCACGTTTGCAGAGTGCTTTTAGGCAGCACCTTCTCTCACATACCCATGGATGTTCCCTCTGGTTCCAGATTACGCGCTTGGGAAGGATTGCATCATGCATGGATACATGCTGAAACTGGGGAACCCCTTCTTGACTCAGTGGCAGCGTCGTTACTTTTACCTCTTCCCAAACCGACTTGAATGGCGAGGAGAAGGAGAGTCGCGGGTAAGTGAGGTGACTCTGGAGAGCAGCAGCTTCCAGCGGCCTGAAAGGCAGGTGGATGTTGAGGCAGATCTGAGAACTCGTCCTCGGGCAGTGGCAGTAGAGATTTGTCCCAGTGAATGACCAGGGGACTTGAGTAACTTATCTTGAGCATCTGTAGTTAATGGGTAGCTACACTGCCCTGAGGAAACGTCAAGTTGACTTGAGAAACCTGTTTATTTTGTTTTGTTATGTTTTTAAAGGAATTTGGTAGTTCATGGTGTTGTTTTTCATTTAGGATCTCTGGACTATTTATACAAAAAAACATAAACTGGTAAGGTCATAAATGCTATAGCATTTTATTTCAAAGAAAATGCTATAGTCACTGTAGTTTAGTCCAGCTGTGATCACGTGCTAGGCAGATCATTTGTATATCTAGTTAAGGAAGGTTTTGGGATTTCAAAACATTGTTCTCTTACAGTCTATAAGGAAAGCTTTTCTGCAAACTGTTGTGTGTGTTTGCTTCTTTGTAAGTATAGAGTGCTTAAATATTCCCATTCAGCTCTTTGAAATAGTAAGATTGCCTTTTTTAATAACAGCAGAAATACTTGGAAAATAGATAAAATCATATGCAACAATCTTGAGGGAAAACAGAATATTTTGTTTGTAGACACACCTATTTGTGGATTCTTATTCCGTGCTGTCATTACTGGCTTTCTTAGCTTAGATTTTGTTGTCTCTGTTGAAACAACCAAGCCCCTTGCTAAATCTCTCTCTTACCTTATAATCTATCTTTAGTTCATGACCCAGTATTGAGAAATAAAGACATGTTTGTGCAGTGACTGTTAATGTTCATAACTTGATTTACGTGGGTAGTCCAGAAAAATTAGATACTGGCTTTATTTGATGGGAAACAGGTTTTTTTGGAGTCATCTCTCTGCTTTATTTTTGCAAATGCTACAGCAAAACCTACTGACAATGGAACAAATAGTATCTGTTGAAGAAACACAAATTAAAGATAAGAAATGCATCTTACTGAGAATTAAAGGAGGAAAACAGTTTGTCCTACAGTGTGAGGTGAGCCGCTTGTTTTTCAATATCGGTTAATCAGGCTGGTTTGCATATGGTAATATTATTCAAAAGTTTTTCAAGTCCTCCCATTATGTATTAATTAAGGGTATTTTATGAAGCAAAGCTGAACTTAAGCAAAACTGTGAAGTTTTTATCATGCTCAGATTTGGAAAGCAGGAAAGCTGCACCTGTGCTAGTTCCTGTCACGGATTTCAAGGGTATTTGGGCTAAAATGAGTTCAGTTTAATAACTAGCTAAAAACTTCAAGACTTTTTAACCTCCGTGGGCTTTGAAGGGCTCGTTGGCACGTGTCTCGCTGCGGTTAGTTCACAGTAGCTAACGCGTTGGCGAGGGAGGAAGTACGCAGATCCTCCAACCATCATGACCGGCTGTGGTTGCTGCTGCCTCCCCTGGCTTTGGTGGGGTGACAGACAATCAAAGGGCTGCACATGTTCAATACCCAAAGTTACTCGTTCCTTTGGGAAATTAAAATAAGCTGCTTGAAGTGCTGTCTGAGAAGACGCTGTTGGCCGTTTACTGTGCAGTGCCAAACTACTTCTGTATCTCTTTCAGAGTGACCCAGAATTTGTTCAGTGGAAAAAAGAGCTGACAGAAGCTTTTACTGAGGCACAGAGGTTGCTGCGTCGGGCTCCAAAGTTTCTCAATAAATCTCGCTCAACAGTTGTAGAGCTTTCAAAACCGCCACTCAGCCACAGGAACAGCAACGGGCTGTAGGAGAAACGGAGAGCCACGTTCACTTCGGGAAAGCTACTTTGTGAACATGTCGAGTTTCACAGAATCCTTACGAATTACTTTGTGCAATCCTGGACACGGGATGTGCTTAGAAGAGGAAGAATGAGATGTTTACAGCGTGGGATAATGTCAGAACTCTGTCTCTGGAGGTTGTTGTGAAGCCTGGAACAATGGCAAGTGAATTCATGCTCCCAGCAGCGATGGGAATTACCGAACGTAGAGGCTGCATATTGCTCCCACGCGTTCCTGCGCCCCGGCGGTGCCCGAACGTGCTCCGTTACTCTGCAACTACTGATGGAAGGAAGATGCTGTTTTCTCTGCAATACCCTTGTTTGGTGTGTCCCGAGCCTGGAGACTGAAACGCTTCCTGCTGGATGACACTTGTGTGTGTGATACCGACAGACCCTTCGGCCGCGGAAGGAGCTGCGGGCTTGCCATGTTGGAAAACCTTTACCCTGTCGTGTTGCCATGTTCTTTCCAACCATTACTGCTGACTTTATAATAACCTTTCTCCATACTGCTGATGATCAACAGTGTGACTCTTATGCACTTCAAAGTACTGAATTCTAACTGTCCTGTGGTTTAAATGTTATTGCTACTTCATGGAAACATTGAACTCCAATTATTCACTTGGTTTGTTTTACTCACTAATAGTAGCTACCACCGTTTTGCTTCTTCTACATATATGCAGTACTATAACTGACACAATAGAGTAATAATTGGTGAAGAGGAGTTTATGGTAGCTTCATCTAGTGCTCTGTTGTATAAATTGACTATTTTAGCACAGTTTTTAAAGAGCAGATTCCTTTTGACAAGTTTACAGTGAACATAAAGACCGTTCTTTTCCATTTCAGGTCAACTGCACTTTTTAAAAATTAAAAAGAAATTATTCAAATCCCATGCATTCTAGTGCATGTACTGGGTTAAAGTGTCTGGGTACCTCGGTACGTATTCTGGATCGCTCTTCAGTTATGGGACTTGTGGATCCTTCTCTGTTGTACATAGAAACATGAAGCCAGTGTGTTCTCATAGTGTAGATATCCCAGACTCTCGCTGTAGCTCAGCTCAGGAGGTTCACGCGTGCGTCACATGGCTCGGCTTGCAAAAGGGTTTTTAATTTTCTTTTCTAGAGAGTTCAAACTGTCCCCGTTGAAAACAGTCTGAGAATACTGAGGATGGAACTGACAAAACGAGTTGATCAAATGCCAGATTTATATTAATTCTACTTGAGGCATCAGCCATGTCATGTGGAAACTCTTGCTAAAGTAAAGATACAGTCTCTTAACTCTTTGACAGCTTTAAGCATGTGCAGTCAGCCTTTCCTTGGCTCTTGTGATGTTTTGTAAGAGATAGGTCAGGACTTAATTTAAGCTTTTTTTCTGACCCAGTAAACACCTTAGAGAACATTTTCTGCCTAATTAGGGTGGTGCAACTCTCGTGGTCCCTAAAGACAAGGGGAATTGCATCTCCGTAAATGGGAACAGAAGTTGCACCAGCAGCTTCCTCTGCTGCCCTGCCCTGCGCGGGCTGTCTCGCCTGTGTTGCTGGCGGGTAACCACGGAGTTCTAGACCCACTTCCTTGGAGAAAAGTGCAAATTGGCAAAAATGGGAGAATTATTTTGAAAGTATTGGTTTACCCTGTAATAAAATTGGATGTATTTGCTTCTAGAAGTGGGAGTGTCACAAGGGTGCGAACTCTGTCTTGCCAGCTGGTGCAGCACAAAAGGAGAGTGCATTTTGGAAGATACCCTGTGTGAGTCAAGGGATATGTTTTAATGATCTCCCATTTATTTTTCAAATTACTCTGTAAAAAGAGTACCAGCTTCTCTGCCATTCTCACCGGTAAGTGGTGTTTAGCATCACAGCAGCCTCTGTAGGAAGCAGGTGTGTGGTGTTTATTGAGTTGCAGCACAGAACATGTCTCATCGCACTGGTGCTGACTGGGCGCTGGGTGCTGTTAAGCTTTTCCTCCAGTACCATGCAATGCTCTTATTTTTCTTCTTGATTTGGGAAAACACCCTCAGATTGTGATAAAAACTGCTCTTAGTTCTTATGTGACTTGTTCATACTTTCTGAGTTTGTTATCAGTCCAT